AGGCCCCTGACTACAAGGTCGGCAACCTGGTCTGGTTAGATACCGACCATTTAAAGTTAAAAGACTGGCAGTCTAGAAAACTGACCGAAAAGTGGATTGGCCCTTACCGGATTAAGGAAGTCAAACCTAATGCGGTGAAGCTGGAACTCCCAAAAAGAATGAGGGTGGTACCCACAGTTAACATTAGCCGTGTGAAACCCTACAAGGGACCGCTGCCGGGACAGCGAGTAGACCGGCCCGGACCGGTGATAGTCACCCAGGAAGGTGAAGAAGAGTTCGAAGTTGAACGAGTGGTAGATGCACGCTTGAAGCGTGGAAAATTAGAGTTCCTGGTTCTATGGAAGGGCTATGGAGACAAGGACAGAACATGGGAACCAGAAACCCATCTGGAAAACTCCTGCGACACTGTCCGCGAATTTTATTCTAGGAATCCCTCAGCTCCCAGGAAGCTTAGAGGCATGGATTCGAAACTTTTTAATTCTCTTTTCCAACCAATGCCCGAAAATTTTACTACTACCTCCGGTATCTGGTCTCGCCTGGAAGTCGAGCCTTAGGAGGGGGGTAGTGTTACGATAACACAAATTCCGGACATCTCCTTTTCCTTTTATTCTCCGCTTTAACTTTATACCTTAAGTGCCACACGACATTTCCCTTTCTCGCGCCGCGTTGCCTTCCTTTTTATTTTTAGACTTAACTCTCTCACGCAGTGGAGCTGGCCATACGGGCTAGGCCCTATGACATCATCAAGCCACTGCCTTCATCAACTGTATAGTACACATGTACAAACAACCTGTAGTAGTATATATACCCCAATAGATCCAGGAGACTCCTCAGCGAGTCCTCCTGTTGTATACCAACTAACTCACTGCAGCTCAAGGGGTAACCACTCCCCATCTTCATATCCTCTATAGTGTGTTCTGTGTGCGCCGGAGTAGTTCACTCTTGGGTTACAAATAAGAAGCATCCTATACGCTCTTTGTGAGAAACGTAGTGTAACAACCAAGAGTTATTTACTCTGGCACACACAGGAACACACTATAGAGGGAAAGATGATGATGGGGGAGTGGTTACCCCTTAGGCTGCAGTGAGTTAGTTGGTATACAACAGGAGGACTCGCTGAGGAGTCTCCTGGATCTATTGGGGTATATATACTACTACAGGTTTTGTTTGTACATATGTACTATACAGTTTGATGGGGGCAATAGCTGATGATGTTATAGGGCCTAGCCCGTATGGCCAGCTCCACTGCGTGAGAGAGTTGAATCTAAAATAAGAGAAAGGCAATGTGGCACGAGAAAGGGGAAATGCCGCGTGACACCATGTGCAAAAGCTAAAGTATAAAGTTAAAGCGGAGAATGAAAAGAAAGGAAATGTCCGGAAATTGTTTTATTGTAACAGGTAGGGGGTTTAGTATAGGAATACCTCAGTTGTTTCTATAGCCTCTTGGGCAGCAGCTGAGGTATGTTACATTACATTTATTAGAGATCACCTTAAACTAACGTCTATTGTAGTTTCACTTAGGTAAATAATAAAGTCATTTCTATAGCCTCTCGGGCAGCGGCTGAGTTTCACTTAGTTCCTTAGCTTTTTATTACTTAAAATATCCACTTTACTCCAGAAACCTCTGAGTTTACTCTCAAGTCCTCTATAGAAAGCTAAGGAACTACACATGAATAGGTAAGGCTTTATATAACTAACCGTCTATCCCCCAGACCAAAAAAGGAATAAGAAGAAAGTGGTCTGAGGGGAAAATCAACCAATAAGAAAAAAGGATAACTATCGTACGGCTTTGAATATTAATCAGCAGGTGAGAGAGTATACTAATAATAAGTGTTGTCACGCATGTTTAGGAACCGTATCCTCATAATGAGGTATGATCCTGATTAAAGTGTCTATTAGTATATCCAGGCACTGATGGGGCTTGGAGCTGGTTGGCAAGATGTCTACTACTAGCCCCTACCTATCGTGCTGGTTAGCTGGGTGCAATACCCAGTCTCTGATCTGTGATATAAAGTGGTAACAATGATTAAGAAAGCCTGCTAGGGCTATAAAAAGCAGGATTGCAAAAAATACCTTTAGCCCTAGAGCCAGAGGTGTGACAGGAAAAGTGTTTGAGAACTGGGACATGGAGTGAGAAGATAAGAACATAATAAGTGGTCCTTACAGTAGGTGGGACCCAGCATCCTAGACAGATGTTCTATACCTTGCAGTAGTACAATATTAGGGACATGAAATTGATGTTGTATGTGTACATACCTTTCCCAAGCTTCATTATCAACAAAAACTGCCCATTCCTATTGTTCAGAATCATCAGTTCCATCACAGTCAATAATTCCATGCCAAAGTGAAATCAAAAGATCACTGAGGTTACCAGCAAGATGCATTATATCAGTTGTCATGCAATAGGGAACACCCAGTGATTGTGAGGGACTGAGACCAAGGATTAAAGGTGCTTTTGTAATGCCTGTTTCTGTCTTGCGGTTATCATATTGAGGTTGATTAGGAAGGATATGAGCCTCTTGAGATAGTCAGCATATATATCAGAACCACTTGATGGAAGGTCAAAAACCACAATATCTGGGTGTCTACTCCCATCAGGAGGATATTTATCATGAGGCATAATGAGAATAGGATAGTAATGTTGACCATGGTTCTTGTGCTGACCCAGAATGCCACAGTATATGCGGCATCCATTTTTACCACTATGTCCAACCATTCCATCCCTATAAACAAAGCCAAGGTCATCAGCAGTTGGAAAAAGAAGGTAGATGTCCAAGCAAAAAACAATGTTGCAGTTGGCATCCCAGATATTGAGTCCCTCTTTCTGGAGTGTGGATATGTGATGCGTTCCAACACATTAAAACGAGTCCAAATTCTTCAGCTTGTTAGGCCCAGGGATAAAACCACCAGGGTGGACATAAATCTTCTGGTAGCGCTTGTCGGGGGCAAGATTCACAATAATCCATACATACGTCCAACAATCCAAGTCTTTGTGTTTATAAAGTTGAGCACCATCAAGCAACACCATAAGAACGATGTCACTCCCTTTAATGTCACCATCAAAAACTGGCCCAAGGTAGTCTAATCCCATGGCAATGTCATCAATAACTAGGATCTCTCCAGTCTCTCAAAGAGGTGATGCCCTGAGTGCACTCATGGAGGTGACACATATTGCAAGCAGATTGGGGATCTCAATACTGTGCTTGGAGCTGGGGACCAAGGAAAATAGTGGTGAATCTTTTTGCAGCAGTTCTGGTACATCCATTGCTAGTGTGAAGTTGGTTCTGACTCCATCAGGACATCCCACACACAGGACAAGCATAGAGGTTAGCAAAAGGGCCAGTAAAGCCAATGCACAACTCTGGGCACATATCATGCTCAACATACTCAACTCTGCTATACTCGGCAATTGTCTTCTCAACTGCATAAAAGCTGAGGATGTCAGAAACAGCTTCAGGAAACTATGACAGATTGCTGGGTGCTCAATTTTGATGGGGTTTTGCAGAGGATTTCTGAGGTGCTCCACAGCCTCCTGGCTCAATTTGTTAATAGGGTCATCAAAAGATGCATCCTGTACCAACATAATAAATTGCATCTCTTGCTGTATTTGTGGAAGGATGACAGAAGCTGTAAGTTGGTCTATAACAAGACCCAGAGGCTTGCAGCAGAAAACGCAGGGGGGAGGCATCTGGTGGTGGAAATTTGGATAGAATTGGTGCCTTGTTTAGCTGTAAACATGGTGGCCTTGTTAAAAAGGACTCAGTAGTAAACAAAATATATAACTCACTTGAACGGCAGAACTTTTAGCGTGTTTGCACCATTTGGCATAATTTGCCCAAGCGCCTTTGTTGACACGTTTAGATGAGGCTGTGTGCTCCTACACTGCTGGGGCCTGCACTTGACTCAGCCTGCTGGGAGTCATACAGGGCTGTGAGGTTGGGAAAAGCCTTTTCCATCCAAATCTTCTGTTTCTCATCTTTTGTAGCTTCAGCTAGGTGCCAATACCAGGTAGACCTAGAAATTTGGTGAGCTTTACCCTGACTGTGTTTTATGCAAACACAAGTCAAGCTTTTGTTGGGGTCTTCAGGTGCAAAGTGATTTGTTTGCATTTAATTATGCTGGAGGGAAAGAAGTCATTGAAGTAGAAGAGCCCAGTGTCAAGAACAAAGCTTAAAGGAAGTGTCTAACCACTTGCTGAGAGCTATCAGAGACTGGAAACTAGAGTCCAATGTGAGTAACTAATAAAACTAAGTGAAACTTAGCCGCTGCCCAAGAGGCTATAGAAACAATATTATTATTTACCTAAGTGAAACTATAATAGATGTTAGTTTAAGGTAATCTCTAATAAATGTAATGTAACATACCTCAGCCGCCGCCCGAGAGGCTATAGAAACGACTGAGGAATTCCTATACTAAACCCCCTACTACTTATAGTCGGAGGTGTGTTACGCACAAAATGCTTAACAAAGTCTGAGGGTTCGTCGAGGTTTTATAAAGAGACTTATCCGAAGACAAGTTCAAGAACATAGTTCTGAGTGGCGGTTTTCCAACAAGAGTTGGTCTTCTTCTGAGTAGAAGTCTGATCTTAGGAGTCTAGCTTTGTAAGCGTAAACTGCGTAGAATTGTATTAGAGAATACTACTGCTTGTTACATTGTATTTATAATGAAAAGGAATCGGTGATAGGAGTTAGGTCCTATCTAGGGCAGGTCCGTCTGTTGAGGACTAAGTACTATAATAGGTACTGTGAATGCGAGAGGAACGGAAGTGTACGTGAAGGAAATGAGTCATCGGTCCAATGGTATAACCAATGAGTAAAAAGAAATGAGTAGTCCTTAAATGTCCAATAGAGATCGTAACATTACCCCCTTACTTATTAGATGAGGTGTCGGATTGGGGAGTGGTTAGATTGTCATCTCCCATGTCGTACGTTCCTGCGTACAACTGATTGATCATGGCTGTGTTGTTGTCTACGTTGATTGGGTTAGAGGGAGAGCCAGTTTCAGGCCTGTGCATTGCGCCAGGCGGACTGTCTTTCTTTCCCTTCGACATACGAGACTGCCGCTTCGATGGAGTTTTGGCGGCGGGGATCTGGAGTATCACCTCTTGCCGGCCGCGTCAGGCTCCTCGTTGGTTCGTCAGGCGACGGGTTTGGGTGTTTGGCACTGGTCGAGGTGGAGATGATGGGGGAGATGGTGGTTTTGGGTTCGACCCAATGGAACGGGGACTGAAGTGGTTCGACCCTTGTGAGATTGGGCTGGTTGGGACGGTGGGAATATATTTTTCCTCCGACGGGATGGGTGGAGGTCAACGGGTGACGATGTGGTAAGTGCGCTCCGGGGTAACACTGGTCTGATCTGGGTGCGACGGGGACCGGAGGGACAAACCGGGTGGAGGAGTACTCGTATAACCGTCTCGCTCTATCCGTGTGCAAGCTTCGTTTAGCAATGTCCTCCCGCCTGATTCCAAATATTCCTTTGCCGAGTCTATCTGCCCATTCAAGGAGCTCATCCTCAAGCGTCATTCCAAAGACTCCAAAACTAACTTTTCCATCCGGAGTGCCCGACAGATACTCGAGTCCTGACTGTTGAGCTGCAAATGCTCGCTTTCCAACAAATGTATTGAGTCTATGGCTTTTAGGAGTTTGTCAGCTACGAGGCCTATGGCAAGGAAGGTATGCATGGAAGAAAGAGCGTAATACGCATGGGGGCAGCATTTTTCAGTCTTGTAAAAGAGATAGGTATAGACGTTTTTTGCTGACATTAGCTCTATGGCATTAGTGATGTCGGCTTGGTTGTGTCGTTGCCCACGGGCGAAAGACACTCGTTTGTTGGCTAGCAAGTTGGCGTCGCCGGGTATTGAGTAGGTGGTGATAGGGAAGCTGGTGGAGTTAGAAGTAGACATGTTTTTGTGTTGAGAGACAGAGGCTTGTTGGAAGTGGGGTGATTGTCTCTTCAACGCAGCTTGTGGTCCTTCTTATAGGCTTCCAGTATCTCCGCAGCATTGGTTAAATGTTCTTCCGGTTCCCATGAGTTTTCAGAATGAGGGTAATGGCGCCATTTAATCAGGTAGCGGCGTCCGCGTTTCCAGGGTTTGTGTCTAAGAATACTTTCTACTTTATATTCCTCTTCTTCGTTAATCAGGTCAGGTGGTGGTCGGATAAAGTTTGGGCCGTGAGTGTTGGTTTCCGTATATGGCGTGAGAAGGGATGCGTGGAAAACATTGTGTATCCTCCAATGGGGAGGCAGGGATAGTCGGTAGTTCACCGGGGAAATCTTTTCTTGGATGTGGAAAGGTCCGATGCGTTTCATGTTGAACTTCTTGTATTCGATAACTTTTTCTCGTAGGTTGGTGTTCTCTAACCACACCTTTTGTCCTTCGGAGAATTGCGTGAACTTTCCATTGTTTTGTTTCATCGTCTTGCTTCTCACGAGTTCGTGTGCTTTTAGGGTGTTTTCCCTTGCTTTAAGCAGTTTGGATAATCGCTTTTCCACTGATGGGATATTTGTGGATCTGTGTTTAGTCGGGATTCCTTGGGGTTCATATCCCATAAGGAGGTAGAATGGCAATTGGTTGTTTGTGGAGTGTGGTCTTTGATTGTGACAGAATTTGGCAGTTGTAAGGTATTTTGCCCAGCTGTGCGGTTGGTTCTGGCAAAATATACGGAGGTAGATCTCCATTCTTGATTGGATCTTTCTGTTTGTCCATCCGTCTGAGGATGATGCGCCGAGGAGAGTGCGGTTTTAATATTCAGGAGTTTGTGGAGTTCTGTGGATACTTCAGAGGCAAACTGTGGTCCCCTGTCGGATATGAGTTTATTGTGTAATCTGAATTGTTTGAAGATGGAATCGTGAAAGATTTGTGCGGTTTCAAGTGCGTCGATGGTTTTATAACAAGGATTACCCCCTTACTAAGTCCTTGGTCTGCCGCGACCATTATACTGTTGTATCCTAAAGATTCTGGTAAATCAGTTATAAAGTCTACGGATAGGTACTTCATTGGTTTGGTGGTCTTTGGGGTCTGGTTTGGGATTAATGGTACAGTGGTGGGATGCGTGTTCACTTTCACTTGTTGACAGGTTGTGCATCCTTTCACGTATTCTTCCACTTGTTTCATCATTCCTGGCCACCAATAGGCCTTTTTGATCAACTGGTAGGTTTTGAGCCTTCCTGGGTGTCCTGCGGACAAGGAATTGTGGTGATCTATGATGATCGTCTTTTGTTCTTCTACTTCGTCAATCAGTAATTTATTCTGATGAAAGAACTGTCCTTCTTCTTTTCTCTAATTGTCTTTCTTTGTTCTTCCTGGATAATTATTGTTCGTGAGCATGGCTTGCTTGATTGTGTTTTTAATTGTTTGTGTGTGGTACAGGAATGCCGAGGCGGGTATTATTGGTGTGTCATTGTCATCTCCTTCTGTTTCGATGTATAAATCAGGTCTTCTTGAGAGTGCGTCGGGTGCCACCATGTGGGTTCCTGGTACGTGCTCCAAGGTGTAATTGTATTGTGGCAGTTTCAGCTGCCATCTTCTTTGTCGTGGTGTGAGTTTCCTGGCTTCTTGCCAGTACGTCAAATTCTTGTGATCTGTAAGAATTTGGATCGTGTGGGGGTTTCCCAAAAGTAAGTGTTTCTATTCTTTTAAAGCTCTCATTACCGCTAGTAATTCTTTGTTGTAGATCTGGTAGTTCTTTTCAGCGGGGGATAGAGTTTTGGAGAAAAATGCACATGGGTGCCATTGTCCTTGGTCATCGGGTTGCATTAATACAGCTCCTGTGGCGTGTTTGCTGGCATCTGCAGCAATCTTTGACGGTTTTGAGGAGTTGGGTATTTGTGTCATGGGGGATTCAAGGAATTTTTGTTTCATCAATTTGAAAGCGTCGTCTTCAGTTTGGGTCCAGTTCCACTTCTTGTCCTTTTTTAGTAAGGCATTCAAGGGTCTGGCAAGGTCAGAGTAATAACCGATAAACTTCCTGTAGAAGTTTCCATAACCTAAAAACTTCCTCACGCCTTTGGTGTCTTTCGGGATTGGCCAATTGCGGATTCCAGCAAGTTTGGCTGGATCCATTGATACCTGATTGTGGGAAACAATCATTCCCAAGTATTCAATGGTTTTGGCTTCAAAGGTGCATTTTTCTAGTTTCAGGAATAGATTGTTATTGCGTAATCTTTGTAGAACCTGTTTTGTTCAAAGTCGGAGTCTTTCGATGTTGGTGTCAAAGATGAGGATGTCGTCCATGTATATGATCATCCAACCTTTGTCGATGTAGTCTTTGAATTTGTCGTTCATCAGCCTTTGGAATGTTGCTGGTGAATTGCACATGCCAAAGAACATGACCGTAGGTTCAAATACTCCTTTGCTGGTTTTAAATGCAGCTTTCCATTTGTCTCCTTCTTTTATCCTTACATTGTTGTATCCCCAACGTAGATCTAGTTTTGTAAAGATAGTGGCTGCTTTGAATTTTTCAATGAGGTTGGGTATCAGGGGTAGTGGATAGGGGTTTTTCATGGTATATGCGTTCAGTTTTCTGTAATCCTGGCATGGTCAGAGTTATCCATCCTTTTTGCCAATGAAGAAAAAGGGGGACACCTGTGGTGACTTGCTCGGTCTGATGTATCCCTTCCTGTAGTTTTCCGTTAAAAATTCCGTTAATGCTTCGTCTTCCCTTGGTGCCAATGGGTATAATTTGCAATCTGTTGGTACAAATTCTGGTTTCATGTTGATTGCATGATCGTATTCCTGTCGCTTGGGGAGTCTTTCCAACTTCTTTTTGTCAAAGATGTCCAAATATCCTTTATATTCATCCGGGAGGTTATGCTCCTTCTTTTCTCTGTGAATTTGCGCGTGTTCTATTGCCAAGTTAACCTTCAATTGAATTGCGGTTTGAGGATAGGGTGTTTGGTCAGATACGTTGTCATGCACCAAAATTGATTGGTAGCATGGACAGGTGTCAATAACGAAGCGAATATTCGAAAAGACTCGCCTTTGCGCCACACAGGCACAGTGCCACGTGGAATAGTAATTAATATTGCCTGTTTCGAACTTGTGGCTGATCAGCACCACCTCTATTAGGCAATCCAGTCACGCTCACCTTTGCTTTTCCATCCGGTACTTTCCGTGTTTTGGCTCGGCAAATTTTTGCGTCGCCACTGGCTACACATTGCATTGCGCCCTCGCTTTTGTCGTTTCCCTTACTCCCCTTCCTTTGCCTAGCCCCACCATGGGCCCCTTCCTCTCCTTTTTATTCTCACCCGACGGTTGTTTCTGGATCCCCATTCTAGTCCACTTGTTCGTCACCTCCACCCTCCTCCTCCTCATATTATTTGCACCCCCACCATTTCTGATGTCACCACTTCCTATCCGCTTCTGTCGCCGATTTGTTGACTACCACGTGCCACTGCTGATATCAGCAAAGCCCCGGCGGCCGGTCCAAATAGGGCAACAGGTCCATCTTCATGACGTCGATCTGCCATCACATACTATCAAAACATCGGTCACTCGTCTTGCCTGGTTGGAGCGTGGGTGGGTAGTTTTTGAGCTGGAGAAGGTTCATCCCCTTGCGTCGCCCATGTTCATTGCTGTCCCATTCACTTGGGTACACTTATCCTTTGTCCATCGTCTTCGCTACAGCTACACCTACCACACGCTGCCTGGGACTCACTTGTTCCAAATTGGAACTACTTCTCTCCCTCCCTCATTTGATCAGGTGGTCCAACACAACCAGTCCATTGGTAAGGCCATGGAACTGTCGGATTTGGACTAGGTGGTGGACCGGTGGCTCCAGTTTCTTTTTTTTCAGCAGAACATTTATTTACAGTGCGATTATTTTTGATTTTTGAATCATTTTTATGGACACATATTTTTTTAGAATGCCTGACTGACAATAAAGGAACTGTGTTGATACTAATAGTGTTTTTCCTTGCCCTTTTTTTTACTGCATCTTCCCATGACATCATGATTTTCTTGCTCTTTTTTTGCTATTGGACTTTACTTTATGGCTGTACAAACCTGTAACTTTACTCACAGCATTCATTGTTCTATCCCTTTCTTTCCCTTATTTTGATGATCTTATCCTGTAGCAACTACGCAGGATTCGTCAGCGTACATTCCTTCCTTCATGTTCTTTCTCATTCTTTTTGCGCAGCTATACTGTGCATAGCCTGCCTTTCTTTTCACTATATAAACCCCTGTATTTTACCTTGTAAAAACAACAAAGAACTCAAATCCAGACTTCTTCTCTAAATCTCAAGTTTGCTACTCTGCTACTTGTGATCCAGTGTGGTCACAATACTTCCCACTGCTACCACTGCTATCTGCTGTCATCGTCACTCGTCATTTTTGAAAGTCACTGTCATCCCTTTCAATTAGAGTCCTTCTGAGCACTACAGTTTGTGCGTCAGGAGCCTGCTATCACTGGGAACCTCGTCACCTCGTCATCTTTGTCATTCTCAAACCTACCTTGTGCTACGATTAGCAAGGTAATGCTTGTCTATACTCATCACAAAGCCCCCATCTTCTATAAATTCAACTATCCCTCCTCCTCAAAACCCACACCCATACCTCTCTGGGTTTTACTTTGAAGGACCTTCATACATACCACCCCACGAACAACCAGAGCACCCACTGTTCTAGGAGGCAAAGCCCATAAACAAGTTCCGTGGAATCTGGGAGGATTGTTTGTTAGTTTGTTTTTGTGTGTGGTTTTCTAACAACAGTTCTCATCATCGACAGCGCAAAGCCATAATGACTGGCTACACACATGGAAAGCAAGCCTACAAACTCCTAGACACTGAAAAATGGACTGTGTTTTCCAGTCGGCATGCCATATTCAATGAATCCGGAAAGGTACAAAAGGACAACACTGCTCCGTGGAACACAGACACTAGCACAGATCAGTGGGAGGGACT